GTGCAGATCAAAACCTTCTGATCGATATTGCGCCATCGCACCTCGCAGAAACCGTTCAACCCATTTTTGTGTCCTCTGGTTTGGCAGAGCGATGCATCACCTCGGCTATGAATCTTGAAGCACTCATCGACAGTTTGGCCGAGTGGTCTAAGGCGATGGCTTAAGGCGCCAGTCCGAAAGGGCGTGGGTTCGAACCCCACAGCTGTCAGTCTATATACCTGACTGGTGTTATATTGAGAACCCAGAGCTTTTCAGAAGCGAGGTAGTACAAGATCAAAACCTTCTGATCGATATTGCGCCATCGCACCTCGCAGAAACCGTTCAACCCATTTTTGTGTCCTCTGGTTTGGCAGAGCGATGCATCACCTCGGCTATGAATCGTGAAGCACTCATCGACAGTTTGGCCGAGCGTCAGTCCGAAAGGGCGTGGGTTCGAACCCCACCGCTGTCAGTCTATATACCTGACTGGGGTTATATTAAGAACCGAGACCTTTTCAGAAGCGAGGTAGTGCAGGATCAACACCTTCTGATCGATATTGCGCCATCGCAACTCCTAGAAACCGTTCAACCCATTTTTGTCTCCTCTGGTTTGGCAGAGCGATGCGTCACCTCGGCTATGAATCTTGAAGCACTCATCGACAGTTTGGCCGAGTGGTCTAAGGCGCTGGCTTTAAATCGCCAGTCCGAAAGGGCGTGGGTTCTAACCCCACAGCTGTTAGAAATTTCTTTTCGTGTGATTTGATGAAGAACGCATTCCGCGGAAACGGTTCGAAACCGTTTTTGTGTCATGTCCTATAGTGTAACGCATCTTCTCCGCTATGATTTTTGAAGCACTCATCGACAGTTTGGCCGAGTGGTCTAAGGCGCTGGCTTAAGGCGCCAGTCCGAAAGGGCGTGAGTTCGAACTCCACAGCTGTCAGTCTATATACCTGACTGGTGTTATATTGAGAACCCAGACCTTTTCAGAAGCGAGGTAGTGCAAGATCAAAACCTTCTGATCGATATTGCGCCATCGCACCTCGCAGAAACCGTTCAACCCATTTTTGTGTCCTCTGGTTTGGCAGAGCGATGCATCACCTCGGCTATGAATCCTGAAGCACTCATCGACAGTTTGGCCGAGTGGTCCAAGGCGCTGGCTTTAGGCGTAAGTCCGAAAGGGCGCGGGTTCGAACCCCACAGCTGTCAGTCTATATACCTGACTGGTCTTATATTAAGAACCGAGACCCTTTCAGAAGCGAGGTAGTGCAAGACCAAAACCTTTTGATCGATATTGTGCCATCGCACCTCGCAGAATCCGTTCAATC